TCTCATCCTGAAGCAAAGTTCTTAACCCGAGGTACTATTTCTGGGTTAGTGGAGTCTGTAACCTGAAGCATATGTAACCCGAGGTACCACTGTATAGTGGGGAAAACCAAGAATGGAAGTATAGGGACAACTGAAAGGAAAGTGCTTGCTGTGAGTATAGACAAAGCCACTTCCGGCCTGCCCAGGAGGTGGGGTTGCGGGCTTCACGCCCACCCCCACTTGAGCGGGGGCTGGTTTCAGCTGCCGCGAGAGCAGGGGAATCCCGGCCGTGTCTCTCCCCCCCCCCCAGCCAGCCAATCGGCTGGCTGGGGGGGGTGGCCTGCCCTATTTAGGGCCGGCGCAGAGGGGGCTCGCCCTCTTTTCGCTGGCTAGCCACCACGTTTTCCCACCCTCCCTCCCTTTAGGCAGGCTTTAGGTAGGTTTCTGACTTTGCTATGGACTTCGGTCTGTCGCCGCAAGGGGCATGGTAGGAATTTTTCCCAATTGGCAATTTACAGCCATTTGGTTTTTCGCCTACCTCGTAGCATCTCATCACAACTCCTCGGCATTGGCGGTTAGGCATTGGTAAGAAGGGGTTAAGAGGATGTGTGTGGGGGGAGGAACGCCATCACCTCCCCCCAGTGAACGAAGGGTGGTCCGATAAAGGACTCCGGGGGGGGGGGGTGGCCCTGTCCGAAGCCTATGGAGGTGTGGGCCTAAGGCACGCCCCAGAGCGGTGACCCGGGGGAGCTCCTAGTTGACGCCTCAGCAGGAGACTCCCCCTCTATGGTGTTAACCCTTCCCGTGTCTCCAGCAAATGGGCTGTAGCCGGATAGTCGATAGGACCAATGCCTAAGCCAATGCCTCTCATTCCTGAATTCAATAAAGTTGTGGCCTAATTCGCCCATTTAACCTTAAATTTGGTGTCTTGTGTCTTTATTTATCCTGGTGGGGGGCGGGAACTCGCCACGCAACTGCTTTTTTTACAACCAAGGTCTAACAAAACAACAACAACAAAAAAAGAATCATTTCTCAAGAGCACATATGAAAATTTCCAGAATCTGCTACTGTTGCAGACTGGCCTGAAGGAATGTTTAATCAGTTTAGTATGAGTTCTTTCATATTATCGTTATTCATTTCTCTGGAGCAAAAACTGAGTTTCTTTTTATTTCTCCATAGATTATTTTTCAATCCAAATCACTATGGTTGGTTTCAAGTATTCTAAGGTAGCTTAAACTGGCTCTTCCAAAAATGGAATCAGACCAAACTGAAGTTTCCAATTAATTGTTTAAAATTGAATCAGAATCCTCAAGTCATGGTATTTAGATAAAATAATTTGATAGAATTGGCATGCATCAGAACAATTAGTTGCAGGGGTGGCCAACCTTTGTGATGCCACAACTCAAGGCCAGCCATACCTGGAAGCACATTTGCCTCTCAACACTACTGCAGCAAAGACTGCAAGGTGAGGCAGCCCCACTGCCATAGAATAGCAGCCCATGGGTCTTTCCACAGCTATCAGTGCTTGTCCTGCTTGTGGCATCTGGGCTGCATGTTTACCACCCATGATTTTAGTCTGTGGTTCTTCAATGCAGCCAGCAAGAATTCTGAATGAGGCCACCAAACCCTTGTCCCTTGTTCTTTACAAATCAAGGGATTGTTTGTTTCACTGACCTGTATAGAACATGAGAAAAAGCTGCAATCAGAGAAGCAATGGGGATAATCAAAAGATGCATATGACAGACCCCAAATAAAGCAGAGCTTACAGCAAAAGGGGGACATTTTCTTCCTCAACAAGTATTTCAATTACAGCCATTTAAAAAGCTTTCAAAGAGTTACTGAGTTTTTGTCATCACAGCTACGGATTCCCAACATGCCCCAAATCTTCTCATTGGGCCATAGATTAAAGCTGCAATACGTATACACAATACCTAGGCACTAGTGTCTGAGTAAGTGATACTTAGGAGTGTGTTGAGAGACATGTATAAAAACCACTTATGACATAGTTTTAATTATTTATGAAAAGGATTATGAATCTCCTTTCTGACCATAACATGATATACAATAGGTAAAAGGTAAAGGTAAAGGACCCCTGGACGGTTAAGTCTAATCAAAGGCAACCATGGGGTGTGGCGCTTATCTCTGCTTTCAGGCCAAGGGAGCCAGCGTTTGTCCACAGACAGCTTTCCAGGTCATGAGGCCAGCAGGACTAAACCACTTCTGGCACAACGGAACACTGTGACAGAAGCCAGAGTGCAAACAAACACCATTTACCTTCCCGACGCAGTGGTATCTATTTATCTACTTGCACTGGTGTGCTTTTGAACTGCTAGGTTGGCAGAAGCTGGGACAGAGCAAGGGGAGCTCATCCCATTACACGGATTCGAAGCGCCAACCTTCCTTCCATTCGGGAAGCACAAGAGGCTCAGTGGATTAGACCACAGCACCACCCATGTCCTTATTGATATACAATATACTCATACAGATAAGCACACTAAGAAAAAGAGAACAAAGCCTTATTAAAAGCAGAAAGCAAAATTTAAAATCCACCAAATGCCATGTAAAACAAGAGTTTACAGTCTGCGTAAAGAAGGCAAATATGTGGCCAACACCAGCCTTCTTTAAAAATGGAGTTTCAGAATGGGGACACAGCTCCAGAAAAGACCCTTTCCAATCTACCCACCCACCTACTCTCCCTTGGCGAATGGAAATGCAGCAGGAGCCTTAAATACTCCGGCTTGAGCCCAAAGTTCTCTGGCACAAGGAGAAAGGCTTTCATGCAGTGAGGCAGCAATTAGCACTTGTAGAAGCTAGCATCCAAGTATCAATCAATGAGATTTAAAAGCACAACTTCATACTGATTGTGCTCTTCAACTAGATCAAGAAAAGCTAAAACTTCACTCCTACATGTGTTTGGCTTGAAATAAGACCCATTGATTTCAGTGTGATATATAATTTTCCAGGTCTTTACATCACAAGCCTGAACAGATTTAATCATAATTAAAAACAAGTATTCAATAGGATTTACTTACTCCACTGTAAGGTACCTAGCATTTCAGTCTTAAACATTCTATACTAAGTAAGCATGGGAGAGAAAACAATTTTACTGCTACTGGTGAACTGGCAGTGATTGCAAAAGAATTTCCTGAACTACATAAGGAGTTTTGGCAGAGAGGGGAGACCTATATACCAGCTAGACACAAACATTCTGGAGGTGCTTGAATGCTTACTATTGCTTGATCAAGGGCACTTAGCAAGCCACAATGGATAGTGGCACTATAACCATCACAATCAGAAAAAGAAAGAGCAGTGATGCAGAAACAAAGAAGGATTAGGAACAGCTGAGGGCCAAACTAGATAAGAATGGGATTGCTGATAGGATTTTCTATCTCTTTAAACTTGTTTCGAAGGCAGGTACTGTACTGGGAGGAGGAGGATGTGGAAGACAGTGCTAATGGAAGTTCAACTCCCCGCAGGCCATTTTCTCCAATCTAAATCCCTCTCAGCAAGCTGCTATTTCCCCTATCATATAACATGGCAAAGAAGGGAGATTAACAAACTCTGCCCCATCATTCTGTTCACAATTACATAGATTGTGCCCTGAGCTGCTTAAAAAAATAAGTAAAAAAGAAAGACAGGAAGTGTCTCATCCAGTTTGGTCCTGGGATAAGGAGACTACAAATTGTATCCAAACCAGAGGGAAACCTACCCTGTGAAGGAATCTGTACCATGTTATATTACAGGCCCTGGCAGTTCTGATGCCTCATTGCTTTTCAGTCTGTCTGTGATCACCAAGACTTGTGCGTATTATCTATATCTGTATCTCCAATGAAACAGTTCTAATTTGGATTAGGGTCTTCATTCCACATTTGGTAGCATTAGCACATTCAAATCCCTTTGGTTAGGTATAATTTAGCTTTGTTAAATTATAATTTAAACTGAAGTTTCAAAAATTATTTTAAAATCAGAAGAATCAAGCAAAATTAAAATACTCTGGTTTGGGGACATGTTTCAGAGTGGCCAGGACTACATTTCTATGGAATGTAACAAGGGACATAAATGAATAAAGATGATGGACACAAACCCTATTCAGCATGCAGAACTTTTTCATATACTGGAAATGTATTATTCTTCATGATACAGCTACAAGCACCTTAGCTATTTTGATGCTACCTGGCATTTGATGATATTTTCTGTCTATTTTTTTCCAGCCGTTTTGGTAACACTTGCAAACACACATTCTTCCCCAGAAACTGTTCTTTCTATCCGAAAACACCAACTGTGTCATAAAAAAAAGAAGTAGCATGCTAGTTCTCTTTAAGTATGTTTATGACACTTGAATCTTTGTGTCTCAACTTTTCTCTACAGATTTTTTGTTATTTTCCCTCACCTGACCCACTCAGATGCTGCAAAGGGTATAAATGTGCCTTCATACACACCTATCACCCCCTTTATCATGACAACCTGCTGCCATTTCCCAACATCCATTTCAGATGGATATCACAGCTTTTTATATTGTAATTTATAGCTATTACCGCTATATGTCACAGGTTGCTATTGAATTTCCTGTGAAATTCAGCTATAAAGTCAAATATTCAATTTCATGTACTTATTTGTATGACACATGAGATTAAGGATAATACAGATTTAACAAAAATACGTATAACTATTATTATTCTGCATCATCTGTTTGTGTCAGAATCAAGTTGCTTCTCCAGATTTTGGTTGTCATGGCACCCACGCTACATCAAGTTCCCCCCTTTGCCTTTATATTCTCTCAGTACTGTCCTACTGCAACCTGTTGGTGTTTTCTTTCCAGCTCAACCATCAATTGTGTTTAAATAATAATAATAATCAGAAGCACAACCATCCTAAATCAGTGAATCCTTTAAGGAAAAAAGAGTAAGGGGTTTTAATATATGTTAAAAAGGTAAGAAGACTAAGCGAACTTTGCAAAGCTGCTAATCCACTTCCATACCCCTCACTCTGCCCACACTGACTGTCAGCAGCGCTCTGCGGTTTGAGACAGATGCCAGGAACTGAACCTGGCACCTTCTGCATGCAAGGCAGACACCCTTCCCAGGAGCCACAGCTCTTCTCCTAAACTGCAGACCTTTTCAGAATGACCTCAACTCCAGGTGGTTTCATATACTACCCATCTGCATAGAAAAACCACTGTAACCAATATACTCCCTTAACATACCATGGAACTCAATGTTCTGCCATTTTTCCAGTAAGTCAGTTTCCCCCCAGAAACAAGCACCATACCTTAGAAGCACAGCATCAATGCCTCTCTCTTTCGAAATGTTTTCACGTGACAAGCAGTGACAGACAAAATGAATATGCATCACTTAGCAAGATTAAGAGAAACACACTGCAGTTCAGAATGTGTTAAAACAAGTTGCATAGTCAAAGCAGTGTTGGAAGACTGCTCCACTATCCGTGCAACTGTTGCCACCAGTTCAACAACCACAGCCATGTTCTCTTGACATGAACACAGAAATAAAAGGAGGAGGCTCGTTTTCATAGAGTGGTTAAACAGCTAAGCCAATGTTTTTTCTAGGCAAGAAGCAACAAGTGAATTTCACTTCTCTCTGCTGAGTTTGGGGCACTTTCTTTCTCTCGGAGAGGGAGGCTGAACTTCCCATCCTGCACATGACTTTTCCGCCCTGCCGATACCTGCAACCCACACGAACACCCCTCGCCGGGGCCGAGGAAGCGAGAGACAGCGGGGAAGTTGGCACCGGGGGGCCCGTGTGGCGGCGCCAACAGACTCAAGGATCCCGAGGCCGAATGCACTGGCCCGGGGAGGCGAGACGAGGCCCCCGACTCATCTGACCGGGACGCGCTCGGGGGGCCGGTTCTTCCCCGCCCAGCCCAGCCCCAGAGCGCGCCAAGCAGCTCCGGCCCCGAAGGCAGCCGCGCCGCCGCGAGGCGCCTGGTCCCCCGACGCGTCCCGCCAGCCCGGGCGCCGCTTCCTCGAGCTGGGCGGGGCTCCGGGCAGCACTTACCGGCGGCGGCTGCGAGGGCAGCCCGGCGCGCTTGGCGGAGCCTTGGCGGGAGCTTAGCCTCTTCCAGGACTCGGCAAACCTGCCCCGGCTGGCGCTGCGGCTTCGTCGCCGACCCAGGTCCTCCTGCTCGGAGGAGGCGCCCTGCTCCGCCTCGCTCGGACTCCGCCACTTCTGCCCCATCTTCCCCCGGAGGCCGGAGCGGCGGCGCTAAGGGGCGGCTCGCGGCTTCGGGGCCACCACCTGCTCCCCAGCGGCGCTTGCCGTCTCGTCGTCGCCGCGCGGCTCCCGCGAAGGTTGCCCGGGGGAGCGAGGAAGCGCCGGCCACGCGCCGCCCCTCGGCCGGGTCTTTCTTCGGGCGCGGAAGGCGAGCGAGCCCCCCCCCCCCGCCGGCGCGAAGGAGGAGGAAGCAGCAGCGGGCGGGCGGGCGCGGCTCTCTCGCTCTCTCGGCCCGGAGACCTGAGCGGGTCGGAGGAGCGACGCCTCGTTCCCGGCGCGAGATGAAGTAGCGCGCTGGAAGGAGCAGCAGCAGCAGCCGCCACCGCCGCGCGCGACAAACTTCCCCCGGGCCGAGGCGAGCCGCCCTCCGAGGCTGCCTTCTGGGACGAGGCGGCGGGAGAAAATAAATCATGAGGAGGCGCGACTTCCCGGTGGAATCAAGTCACCTCCCCCCTCCCCCCTCCCCAGTTTCAGATCTCACAATTTGATTTCTGTTTGGGGAATTGATCTCTCGCCTGCTAAACTTTAAGCTGTTAAATTAGGTTATTTCATATAACATTGGGAGGATTTATCTTATGCATTACTTGACACTATTTTCATTTTTCGTTTTGAACTGAGCACAGAGTTGTGAGAAAGTCACATTCAAATAAACAGATGATGAAGATGATGCCGATGACCATGCAGATTTCACTTCTTCTGCCCCCAATCAATAAAAAGACATAAGGTAGCTAACTGAGCTTCTGTACAAAAGGTCTCTCCCCCCTCCCCAACAAAAATCCTGGCTTTACCCACAGAGTGGGGAATTGTCTTTCCTTCCTGACAAAATGGCCTGCACAAAATGGGCCAGGTCTGGATTGTGCCCACCAGTCAAATCCAGTCACCCGCCACTGTTCTACCAATCTACCCAGAATCAGGCCCACTGAATTTAATGGGGTTTACTCCCTCACAGCGCATGTGCAGCTCACCACTTTCCCCAAAGAATCCTGCAAACTGGTTTTTAAGGGTTCCATGAACTGTAGCTTTATGAGTGGGTAGACTACAGTTCCCAGGGTTTGTATGAGTGGGTAGACTACAGTTCCCGTGTTTATGCAGCCTGAACAATGTGCAGCATGTTCACTAGCAGGTAAGTCCCACTGAATTTAATGAGATTTCTGAGTGTACATGCCCAGGATTGCCCTGTAAGTCAATTGCACACCTTGCAACCAATGTCCTACAAACAACGTATTTCATAAATAACTGAGAACATGATAAGTAGTAAAATAGTATCCGAGCATAGGATCCGGTCATAATACGGAATGAAGGCCCCTTGATTCAGAGCATTTTAAATTCCACAGCAGTCATGAAAGTACATTCCACAAATACATTTTGTTTTCAGAATGCTGATTAGTTGAATATACAATCACTTTGTAAGAAAATATTCACCAACTTTGTGTGTGGTGGTTTCTCGTGGTGTTTCCTATCAAGTTAATTGCAGCAGAAAACATGGTGATTGCTGTGCACGATTACTTGAAATTAAGACCCACTAGGATTTATTCCTAAATCATAGTCCACAATCATGCATGTCTGAGTATTCTCCAGTATGCAGATGATACCCACTTCTACTTCTTGTTTAAATCAGAACCAGTGAAGGCTGTTAATGTCCTGTGTGAGTGTCTGGAGGTGGTTGGCGGATGGATGGCAGCTAATGGATTGCGATTGAATCCCAACAACACAGAAGTACTGTTTTGGGGGGACAGGGTCCAGGGCAGCTGTCTACTAGCTCCATCTGGTACGCAGGCTGAGACCCTACCTGCCCGTAGACTGTCTTGCCAGAGTGCTGCATGCTCTAGTTACCTCCTGCTTGGACTACTGCATCGTGCTCTACATGGGGCTACATTTGAAGGTGACCTGGAAACTACAACTAATTCAGAATGTGGCAGCTAGACTGGTGACTAGGAGTGGCTGCCGAGACCATATAACACTGGTCTTGAAAGACCTACATTGGCTCCTAGTACGTTTCCGAGCACAATTCAAAGTGTTGGTGCTTTAAAGCATTAAATGGCCTTGGCCCAATATAACTGAAGGAGTGTCTCCCTCCCCCCCCCCCCATCATTCAGCCCAGACATTGAGGTCCTTCTCCAAGAGTCTTTTGGTGTTTCCCTCACTCCAAGAAGTGAAGTTACAGGGAACCAGCCAAAGAGCCTTCTCATCAATGGCACGCTCCCTGTGGAACACCCTCCCATCAGATGTCAAGGAGATGAAGAACTACACAACTTTTAGAAGACATCCAATGGCAGCCCTGTATTGGAATTTTTTTAATGTTTGATTTTTATTAAGTTTTTATATGTGCTGGAAGCCACTCAGAATGGCTGGGGAAGCTGAGCCAAATGGGCAGGATTAGTACTTGTGACCACCCAATAAGATTGACAATGGATTCAGGACAAAACCTAACAAGAAAGCACTTTTTTATGCAAGGGCATACCTGGGTGCAGGCCCAAGCAGACATGAAAATACTGCTGGTGATTGTGTGCATGGATGGGTGTGTGAATCCTCCCTCTTGTCTCCTTCCAGTTTTGGCCACCCGCAGCCTGGCCAGCCAAGGCTCTCCTATGGATCATTGCTCCCGCCAGCTCCCTGCCCAAGGAGGAGGAGGAAGCAAGAAGGGAAGTGAGAGACGGAGGCGGCAGGCGAGAGCATTGCATTGCTAAGGCTTCAGGGAACTTGACCTGCTGAAGTGAGAGGACAATGGAGCCATGAAGGGGTGGAGGGAATCCGGGTTGCTCTTTGAGCCCTGTGGGGATGGACAGACCGAGGCTCAACTGGGCTCTCTGGCACTGCTTGCAACACCTGCCTGAACCTCTCTCCCCTTCAACTAGCCATGTCCTCTCCCCCCACCCAATGTGTGTGCATTTAAAAGCAAAAAGATTCATCATTCACCCCATCTGTGGATGGCCCCATAAATAATTTAGGAAATTTGGGGAGCTTCCTTAAAGTGAATTAGATCACCCATCCATCAAGCTCAGTGTCATCTACAAGACTGACAGCAGCTCTCAAGGGTTTTAAGGCAGGAGCTTGGAGGGTGATGACAAGGGAAAGGGCCTTTTCACTTCTGGCTCCCTATATCATGCTCTACCGAGTGCGCTATCCCAGACTTCCTTGTTCAAAGCACTTATAGTTGCATTGTCTTGTGTAGCAGCACTAGTGAAATATCCTGGATGTTTGCTAAACTCATGAATCACTAGGGCATGGCTCTTGCATCGATCCTATTAATTAAACAACTGAAGCATTTTTATCCTGCTCATCAGCAGACAAGGCTACCAAAGTGACTTACATACAATCAGTCGGTTGGATCCATATTCAGCTAGTTGAACTAGGATTCTATAGAAATCAGTGGGACAAGATAGCTCTCACTGAAATTACAGTGAGTAATTAACTAACCCAGTGCATCCCACCCAATAAGGACAAAACAATTAAAACAGTAACATCCCTATTTAAGAAAGTAATGATCATAGTTCATTACTTTCGCTTTCTCTGCTTGCTGAACAATTGGTTTTAATGGGGTATGTTATCAGTACCTTTCACAGTGACCACAGATCAAGTGAGCTCTGTGTGATGTCTGAAAGTGATCTTTAATATTTCTAGAAAAGGGGACCAGAGGGTGGTGAAGAACTGCTTGCTTAAACTGAAATAGCTGGTCCCAGACTGCCTTTTCAGAGAACTGAAAAAAGATGGCATAATTTGACCTGCTAAATGTGGGGTGAATTATTCAGTGGTAAACACGCATCCTAAATAAGATCAGATAAGACACCAAAAATTATAGTATTTCAACAGTATTTTATTCCTTCTCAAATTCAGAACCACGGTATTCAACAAGTTATTTTTAATATATTTAATCTGAACTAGTAGAAGCAAAAGAACATAAGGCATGAAGAGATGCAAATAATCTCTCCCAGTTTGAAACAATCAGTGATGCAAATTATGTATATTATAAATGTTAGCTGACATCAGAGTTCTAAAAACAAGACACTCCTAGTTCACAAAATCAGAGTTGTCATTACGAAATTCTCAAAGGATATGCCACTTGCGTAAGAGAATAGTAAAGAAAAATGTGTCAAGTTCAGTATGTTGCTTTAGTATTTATCTTAATCTGCAAATTAACAAGCTCAAAAGGAATGCTATAACAACTACTACTACTACTACTACTACTACAAGAACAACTTATTACTTATACCCTGCCCATCTGGCCAGGCCTCCTCAGCCACTCTGGGCTGCTCCCAGCAGAATATTAAAAACACGATAAAACATCAAACATTAAAAATTTCCCTAAACACAGCTGCCTTCAGATGTCTTCTAAAAGTCAGATAGTTGTTTATTTCCTTAGAATCATAGAATCATAGAGTTGGAAGAGACCACAAGGGCCATCGAGTCCAACCCCCTGCCAAGCAGGTAACACCATCAGATCACTCCTGACATATGGTTGTCAAGCCTCTGCTTAAAGACCTCCAAAGAAGGAGAGACCACGGGACTTCCGGGTTGGCGCCTCTGGCAATGGCGGATTTCCTCCAATCGGGAGGAATCCGCTCCGTGGAAAACAGGGTCTGAACCGCCACGGCGAGGCAGAGACCCATCAAAAACCACAGGCGGGAGAAGCCTGTGGACGTGGGATTCGGCTGGCACCTTTGCGCCCCCCCTACCCGCGGGGAAACCCAGTTTTCGGGGATCCGGAGCGACGTGGGGTGAGTGGCGCGGTGCTTTGAATCGACTGCTTCTTTCACGGAGTGAAGCCGCATTGCTGTTGCCGGAGAGCGCTGAATTTTTCCTGTGGATTTTAAACAACTGCCCATGAGTAGAACGGAAAATTGGATTAAGAAATTTTTTAATTTGGCACTGAAGCGGGAAGGTCTAAACAGGAAGTCCGCCTTCCGCTTTTTGTAGATAGATTGAAGCAAAGACACGGCAAGCTAGAGTTTAGAAAGTCGTTTGTAAAGGACCAAAATTTCATCATTTAAAATTACTGAACCCCCCCTTGGAAGCAGGAGAAGAGGGGGGAACCCTTTTTAGACTGTTTAAACCTGCAGAAGAGAGAGTAAAGAAAGGCAATTTTCCACCGTCTTAAACCTGGGAGCGGGGTGTCAGGACAGACGTTCTGGGGAAGCTCATTGACTATGGACAAACGTTTTTGACAGATAGTTAAAAGAAGAGAAACATATTGATTCCATTGTTCTCCTTCGCATTTAAAAGGAACAAAATATTGACAAAATATCCAAAAAGGGAAAACTTTGTTGCTAGATCTGCTTTTTTTAAAAAAAGAAAAAAATGGATACAAAAACAAATTGTTTCTCCTAGAGGGAGCTTGTGAAACTGTTTTTAAAACCGATCGTGGGACCAGACTTCGACCTTGAACAAGAATGTACTCGGAGGCTCTGGTGCTTG